AACACTGGCATCTAACAATGCTTTGGAAAAAAAACAGTTCATCTTAAAAAATAAAGCATAAACATAAACAGGAAATACCCAAACAGGAAATAAAAAGAGTTAATAAATAAGCATGTGTCCTATTCTGTGTCCTAAACTCCTGAAACATTGCTGTCTCATATTTTAAAGCAGTCAGTGCAATTTGGGAAAGAAATCAAGTGTCTGTGTGTGTTTGAGAAAATATTCAGATGTAACCCCCTTTGTAATCGTTAACATTTTCATAAGTAACTAATTTAATTACACATTTTCTCAGTAACTGTAACAGATTACAGTTGCGTTTATTTTGTAACTAAATCACGTAATTCCGTTACATGTGACTACTTACTCCCCAACGCTGCATGACATGTATGAATCGATGTCTTTCACTTGATTTATTTTGATAATTTTGTGTGTATGTGTGCATGTTTAGGGCTACGGCACACACCTGATGAATCATCTTAAGGAGTACCATATCAAGCATGGCATTCTGTACTTCCTCACCTATGCTGACGAATACGCCATCGGCTACTTCAAGAAACAGGTACCGCTCCAGCCACTCGCGTACAGACGTTTTACATTTTCTATTTTTCCGCTGTGCAGCTTCACCTGTTGAACCCTCGTTCTGTTGGTAGGGCTTCTCCAAAGACATCAAAGTGCCGAAGAGCCGATACCTTGGCTACATCAAAGACTATGAGGGAGCCACGCTAATGGAGTGTGAGCTCAATCCCAGAATACCCTACACCGAACTCTCACACATTATAAAGAGGCAGAAAGAGGTGAGAGTGCACAGATTTACCCTGCTGCTGGAGAGGAATACATTGTACTGGTTTATCCAGTTGTATTACATGGTGTATGTTTTTGGAGGGGTTTTTCCCCCCACTTTTTTGATATACAGTATCTCAAAATATCCCAAATTGGCTGAACACATTAACCTTTGGTCAATTTGTCTGCAGATCTAAGAGAAGGGCAAGACAGCCAGGCTAATGTTATATGACTGTGGGTTTGTTGTCGTCTGCTGTAGATCATCAAGAAACTGATTGAGAGGAAACAGAATCAGATCAGGAAAGTGTATCCAGGTCTCACCTGCTTCAAAGAGGGAGTGCGGCAGATTCCTGTGGAGAGTATACCAGGCATCAGTAAGTGTGCCCTTGAGTCTAAATAGCAGCTATGATGCACATACAAAATTCTTCCATTCTCACACACTCTCTCCCTTCCTTTTTCCACGAGGAGAGACTGGTTGGAAACCTAGTGCCAAGGAGAAGAGGTCAGAGGAGAATTTATGCATATTTATTCTGAAATCTTGGACCATCTGTCTGTCTGTATTAGATCATTGTGGAACTGCATCTAATGGTTTTACAGCGATAGCATGTGTACACTTCAAAAGATTGGGCTCAGAAAGAATTTTTAAAGTCCCCCTGTAGTCAAATATTTTATCCCTTAAAACTTATCTTTGATCATCAAAATGACATATTTAAATGTTTTTTCTTGTGAAAATAATTTTCTCATGCCTTAAAATAGCTTGAATGTAACTCTACACCCTTGCCTCATTTACTACACGGGGATCTATGAATATGCAAGTTAGTCCCGCCTCCACTCAGTTGGTTCTAAATTCACATTAAACCACAGCTTCATGGGTTTTTTGCTCTGATTTATTTTTGGTTTTGTGCTGGTATTGGTATATTTTGCATGCTAGTGATAGGAATCGATCCCTTGACGTTATTGGTTTGTGACGTAGCAAACCGAGGGCTGTTTCAAACCATATTTCTGGGTCAGTCTTTGGGGAAACTACAGTTTTAAGGAGAAAATACACAGCAATGGTGTTGATTAATAGATTGGCACATGGTTTGTCTAAAAGCATATTAAAAACACCACATAGACAAATAAACAACATAAAAAACTTGATTTTCACTACAGGGGGACTTTAAGACTTTAATGCTTTTATTCAGCAAGAATGCATTAAATTGACAGAAATATTTTGTAATATTATTAATGTCTACTATTTCAAATAAATGCTCTTCTTTGATAATAATATGAAAATATAATGTTTCTCGAGCAGAAGATCTGCATATTAAAATTATTTCTGACTGATTCTGAAAATTCATGTATATATATAAAATTTTTGGTCACTTTGTGTGTGATATATAAAATGAGCCAGTCTTAGCAAAACAGCAGGATTATGTTGCAATTCCTAATTAAGTTAGCAGCTATTTTACTTGCTTTTGGGGTTTAATGCGTGTTATTTGTGTATCCTCTCTTATTTTATCTCTGCAGTAAAGAGCTGAAAGATCCAGATCTGCTCTACAACATGCTAAAGAATCTACTTGCACAGATTAAAGTAAGAGTTGTCAATCACACATTCATTTTAGCACATTAACTGTGTAATATTCGGGTATATTCTCACCGTCTCATCTGTGTGTGAACAGACACATCCAGACGCCTGGCCTTTCATGGAGCCAGTGAAGAAATCCGAAGCTCCAGACTATTATGAGGTCATCCGCTTCCCCATTGGTGGGTACTAATATCGTCTGCGTATACAGTAATGAGATTTATTTATTTATTCTGAAGAGCCGCTATTGAACTAGTCGAGCGAGCTATACTGCCAATATTTATCAGTAAAAGTCTATACAGTTTGAACAACAGCAGATTGCATCCAATTGAATAAACCTCTCATCCTACTCAGACTTGAAAACGATGACGGAGCGTCTGAAGAACCGGTATTATGTGACAAAAAAGCTGTTTATCGCCGACCTGCAGAGAGTGATCACAAACTGCCGAGAGTACAACCCTCCAGACAGCGAGTACTGCAAGTGTGCCAACACACTGGAGAAGTTTTTCTACTTCAAACTGAAAGAGGCCGGGCTCATTGACAAGTAACACGCATCTAGCCTAGGACAAGGGACCAGTTAGTTATTATAGAGAGTGTGATCACATACACGTTTAATTTGGATGAATGACATGCAAACTTGTCAAAAGTTGCTGCGTTCTGTTACTTTTTTCTTCCTTATACAGTATAGTTATAAAACTCAAGGTTATATTGGTGTGTATGACTCTGCTGTGCCAGTGCATTAAGGGAAAATGAAAACTGAAAGTGTGATCGATGTGGGCGTTGGCTTAGGCAGAAGTCACTATTAGCAATTCTGTTTTTCTGTCCCATGCGCCATTAAACGAATGACTCCCGAACAGCGCAAGCTGTTGCTCTACATACTGTACACAAACATTTGGTTGTGTAACAAAGTCTTATCCTGCGACATTTACTGACCCGAGATGCTGCAGCCAAAGACGGACAATGTTTGGCCTCTAGTGATGATGTCACTGCGGTGCCACCATTCTCTGCCAAAGCTGTTCGATACAGCTGGTTAGTCATATACAGGACGTGCCTATTCAGTATAAATCTGAAAATATAAGGGGATTTTTTTCCCCCCTCTTTTTGTTTTGAGTTCCATCAATGGTTTTTATTGAAGAAAAGACGGTTCATTCCTTGACAGATCACTTCAAGTAACAATAGTCCTTGTTTTTGTCCTCCTGGGAAATTACTGCTGTCCACTTGGCTTTGTCAGTGTCGTTGTGAAGTGCTTATCTCTGTTTGCAAACCAATATTTGTCGTCTTCAAAAGCTTTCAGTGTGTCATGACCCCGGGCGTAACCATTCACAGTTTTTGCAGCCTGATTTTTACACCCATTTGGGACCAGGAACAACTATTTCCATTTCAGTCATAACTGCAAAACACTTTTGTCTGCTACTACCTAAAGTACTCGTAATGGACAACTGCACAAACCTGTATTTTTAAATATGTATGTGTTTTCTCTGAATGTTCTTTGCGCATGTTCTTTGCTAGTTTACCGTTCACACACATGTAACAGGACAGCTGGTTTATTTCTCAGTCTCTTGTAATAGACATTTACTTGAATCATGACTTTGATGAACTGCTGCAATGTTGATGTATTATCAGGGTTCTTTATTTTTTGTTTTACTGTGGGACACTGATGGCCCTCACGAAGAGGACAGATGGGTGTGCTAGAAAGCGGTTGGCCATGGTTACATTTGGAAGATGCATGTAAATTGCTACGGTTCTATGTACTATGATTTTTTTTTTTTTTCTTTTAAATAAATTTTTTTTTTAAGTTGAGTAATTTTGGACCATTCTTCCTTGCAGAATACTTCAGCTCACCCATGTTCTTAAGACGTCTGGTGTGAAAGGTTCTCTTGAGCTCATTCCACAGTATCATTGGGTTGAGGTCTGGGCATGCTTGGGCCACTCGAAAAGATGGATTTTATGTTTCTGAAACCATTCTGTAGTAGATCTACTTTGATGCTTAGGGTCGTTATCGTGCTGCATCACCCAGCTTCTTCTTATATATATATATATACATACACACATATACATGTGTGTGTGTATATATACACGTGTATATGTGTGTGTGTGTGTGTGTGTGTGTGTGTGTGTATATTTATGTGTATATATATATGTGTGTGTGTGTGTATATGTATATATATATATATATGTGTGTTTGTGTGTATATATATATATGTTTGTGTGTGTGTGTGTATGTATATATATATATATATATATATATATATATATGTATATATGGTGTGTGTGTGTGTGTATATGCAATGTAAATATAATTTAATATAATGAAGATGTAAATATTTTCTTTCTTTCTTTTTTTGAATACTCTCTTTTTCCATATTGTGTTTGTTTTGATCAGAGCATGACTAACAGGCAGGTGACAAAGGCAGTTCGTTCAGTTTTGATTTCCTAAAATCACTGACTGCCAAATGGGGCCCCATCAAGGTCTCTCTATTACTTTCTTCTGCCCCCGTTGCAGCTACTGCTCTCCACATTTACGAATCAAAATCTGTTTCAGTCCACATCATTGCTGTACCAAGGGGCGCAAAAAAACAATAAAAAAACAAACAAATCTCTGATAACAATTGACAAAAAAAGTTTAAAAGTTTATTTATTTTTTATTATACTAACAGTCCATGGATGCCTGCTGTCATTGAATTTGGCCCCTATTTTGTTGTATGTCATTCATCTCCTCCTGCCGGGCCCTTTCTCTGTTTTCGGTTTCGTTTTTCTGCTCAGCAGGCTAATAAAGGGACGGGTTTGAAGACCAGCTAGAAAGAAACACACAGACCCCTCACCACTACAGTGACAGCAGCACAGGTGAGTGAAAATACTGACCTGTGCAGATACAGTTATTTAATCGTAGTTCATAGTCCTTTATAGTCTTTCAATATAAAACCGTAAGCAAAGTAGTAGCATTTTTAGCATGGAATATTTGTTCTAAGATCGTTATTATATACTCACCCTCATGTTGTTCCAATCCTGTATCAATTCCTTTGTTCTGTTGAACACAAAAGAAGATATTTTAAAGAATATTGGTAACCAAACATTTGCTGGCAGCCATTGACTTCCATATTATTTTTTCCTTAATATATAAGTCAATGGCTACCAGCAACTGTGTGGTTGCCAACATTCTTTAAAATATCTTCTTTTGTGTTCAACAGAAAAAAGAAACGCACAGGTTTGTAATTGGAACAACTTGAGAGTGAGTAAATGACGACAAAATTGTAATTTATGAGTGAACTAGCCCTTTAACAGAGATTAATGGTGAAACTACTAACATTTCACCTTAAATGCTTATAAGAAAATTATGATAGTTGAGAAAAGATAACTAAAACATTCTCTCTAGTTTGCACAATTCTTATTCTGCCTGTTACTGTTTCTTCTGAATGGCACTGGATCAGTTTATTCATTATCACACTACACTGGTTAATCTGTAATGATCTGTGCCTGAAGCTTTAGGAAATGGGTCAGTCATTTCAGTCAAACCATTTTAGTATGTGTGGTGACAAAACTGATGTGTTTCATGAAGATCATTTTTGACCATGTAAATAGCTGTCTTTATTGTACCGTCTTCTGACTGTTTGAGTGTAGATGGACTGCAATCTTAGACCGTACCAGGAGGAGGTGGTGCAGGCAGCACTCAGAGGGGAGAACAGCATCATCTGGATGCCCACCGGTGGAGGAAAAACCCGTGCTGCGGTTTACGTCACTAAGAAACACCTGGAGACCACAGTCAATGCCAAAGTGGCAGTGCTCGTCAACAAGGTAAAGCCAGATTAGTGCTTTATTACTACCTTTCAAACTTTTTTATTACTCTTGTTGTATTTAGATTTACACAGAGTATTCATATCCATTGTCCATTGTTCTCAGGTGCATCTGGTAGACCAGCACTTTGCAAAAGAATTCAAGCCTTATCTTGGGAGTACATACAAGATAACAGCCATCAGTGGGGACAGTAATGAGAAAGACTTGTTTGGGTGTCTAGTCAAGGCCTCAGACCTGGTCATCTGCACGGCTCAGATCTTGGAGAATGCCCTGATCAACATGGAGGAAGAAAAACACGTGGAGCTGACTGGTAACAGATTATTCTGCATGACACGCCATGATACATAATGCCTTACAACAGTTTTACACATAGTGCATGAATGTAAACTTGACTCCATGAATACGGTACACTTTGATTGGCTTTTTTCAAGTATTAGAGGAACAATTCTCATGCTTTATTGTTGTGAGAACTATTATAAGACTTTGCTATTGCACATACATGCACCTTCTTGATTGTATTTAACAATTATAACCACAATAACCTGTTGAATTAGTATGCAAATCAATATGTAAAAACCTTTTGATGATCTCATTTGAACTATTATTCACTATTTTTAAATATTAACCCAAAAATATAAGTTTATCAGTATCTACTAACCACGTAGCACCTACTAAGTGACAGCCTAATTCAGGCTAAATCTGCAACTCTTTGACACATTCTGGGATAGTTTATTTATTTTTTTGTATACACAAATATTTTGTATTTTTAATTTTGATGTTAATGTTAATTGCTGTAAAATTACAAAATCACACAAATCATGATCAACCATTTTTTTGGGTTGAAAACCTTACGGAAAAGGATTAAAAATAAAATGGATCAATATTTAATAGGATCTTCTAAGGTAGAAAATATTTTGAAGATTAAGCACTTCCATTCACTGACTACTTGATTTAATTGATTGTGTGAAAGTTTTGGGTTGAAAACATGATGACAGATTAAGTATTAACAGTACCCTTCATTTTTCTCTTTTCAGACTTTACCCTGCTGGTAATAGACGAATGTCACCATACACAAAAGGAGAGCGTCTATAATAAGATAATGGGCCGCTATGTTGAAAAGAAAGTGAGAAAAGAAGGGAATCTTCCTCAGATTTTGGGTCTCACAGCATCACCTGGTACAGGAGGAAATAAGCAACTGGATAAAGCTGTTGAACATGTACTGCAGGTGTGTTTAAATGTACACATTAAGACTTGGCAATAAAGCTAAAAAAAAAATCATGCAAGAACTAAAATTCAATTGAAGTCATGTTTTCCACATTCACAACAAAGATTTAAAGGGATAGTTCACCCAAAAATGAAAATTCTGTCATTAATTACTCACCCTCATGCAATGTTCCCTCTAATTTTTTTTCTTGCTGAGCAACACTTTTCTCTATTGGGCGGACATTTCGGCCCCCTGAGCAAAAACATTCTTTATACCATTCCTGTACAGCGCGTACACAAAAAAGTGTGTAACTTTTAACTTTAATGTGCTATTTATATTTGATTTGACCCTTGATGTAACTAAATGATGTACATTTTAGGTTACCTGAGAAAATATTTTTACAGTATAATACACTGCCGTTCAAAAGTTTGGGATCAGTACATTTTTAAAAGAAGTTTCTTAGGCTCATCAAGGCTGTATCTATTTGATAAAAAATACTGAATATTATTTCACAAAATAATATTGTGAAATATTATTGCAATTTAAAATAAAAGTTTTCTATTTTAATATACCTTAAAATGTAATTTATTCATGTAAAGGAAAGCTGAATTGTCAGTGTCACGTGATCCTTCAGAAATCATTCTAATATGATTATTTATAATCAATGTTGGAAACAGTTGAGCTGCTTGGTATTTTTTGGGACCTGTGATATTTTTCCGGATTCTTTGATAAATAAAAAGTTAAAAAGAACAGTGTTTATTCAAAATAGAAATTTTGTGTTACAATATACACTATACTATTCAAAAGTTTGGGGTCAGTACATTTTTTCTTATTTTTTCTTTTTTTATTAATACTTTTATTCAGCAAGGATGTGTTAAAAGTGATAGTAAAGACTTATATTGCTAGAAAAGATTTCTATTTTTAATAAATGCAGTTTTTAAAAACTTTTTGTTAGCCTAATCAAAGAATCAAAACAGCACAATAATAGAAAACAAACTGAAGCATTTAAACTGATAGAAGAGAATAGAAAACAAACTGAAGCATTTAAACTGATAGAAGAGAATAGAAAACAAACTGAAGCATTTAAACTGATAGAAGAGAATAGAAAACAAACTGAAGCATTAAAACTGAGATCTGCAAGTTAAATATTTTCTAAGAAAAAAAAACCGTGAATGTGAATTCTTCTATAGCTATCTAAACATCCCTATGAAGTACAGTTGAAGAAGTTTACTTACAGTATAATTTTCTCTACTTCCTATTTATGTCTGCTTTTTTGTATTTGTTCTTAGAATGAACAAAAGGAAACCATTAAACATTTTAGAAAAGGAATCCTCAACCTCCTCATCTCCACCAGTGTAGCTGAGGAAGGACTTGATATTCCAGAATGCAACTTAGTTGTACGTTACGGGCTGTTGACCAATGAGATCGCTCAGCAGCAGGCCAGTGGGCGGGCTCGAGCTATGAACAGCGTCTACTCAGTGGTAGCCGAAGAAGGTGGGCGTGAAATACGCAGGGAACTCACCAATGAGTATCTAGAAAGTCTGACTGCAAAAGCTATTGACCAAGTGCAGCAAATGAGTCCCAGGGAGTTCAGACTCAAGGTTTGCAATTCACGTCAAATAATAGAAAAGCTTGAAGTATTCAGATTTCAGATTCCTAAAAAACTTCTGTCTCTTTATTCCTGTCAGATATCCGAGCTCCAACAAATCACTGTAATGAGTCGGATCCAGGCCGAGAAGAAAAAGGATGAGAGGGAGCAGCGCTATAGTCCTGGTCAAGTTCAGTTTCAGTGCAGAGGATGCTTCTTGCCTGTCTGTAGTGGAGAAGATTTAAGAAAAATAGAAAATACTCACCATGTCAACATCAACCCTGAGTTTGAGTGAGTTTTTCCTGAGTGCATGATTTTTTTGTTTTCTGTGAGTACATCACTTGTGCATGACTTAAACTTTAGCGGTTAGAGCAAATCTTAGGTCTATAACAGCTCTGTGGTCCGTCACTGACTAGTGTGATCCATATACGAATTGAACTTTTAAAAATATATATTTTTAAAACCAAGCAAGAGTATTCCAAGTTTTTGCCATCATTAAGATAGGATAGTGTAGAGTAGACAGGAAGGATTGTTCATACCAAGAACGTAACTGTAACGATAACTATATCAGCGTCCACACCAACAGATGATAACATTGTTTATTACAATTAGGGTGAATTCTGATTGGCTGAATTTTGAAAGAGATGGTGCGTTCAAGTCCTCCTGGGACTTGTGTTCGTGTTTACATGTTGGCAAATGCGTTTAAGTCACTTTGGTTGGAGTAAGATGGCAATGCACCCTTTTTTTTTTGCTATCATGGCTAGATGACTGCACATTATCCTGCTTATTACAGCAAACAAATGGACATTATTATGTGAGAAGAAAGAGATGTGAAATAGCTAACTCTGTGTAGCCATGATTGTGTAGCCTAGTGAACCAAACTGAGAGGCCATTTTGAAGGCTCAGGAAACCTTTGCAGGTGTTTTGAGTTGATTAGCTGATTGGCATGTCACCATATTCTCATTTGTTGAGATAGTGAATTGGTGGGTTTTTGTTAAATGTGAGCCAAAATCATCACAATTAAAAGAACCAAAGACTTAAACTACTTCAGTCTGTGTGCATTGAATTTATTTAATACACGAGTTTCACAATTTGAGTTGAATTACTGAAATAAATTAACTTTTCCACGACATTCTAATTTATTGAGATGCACCTGTATTGTTGACAGAGACAACTGTCCAATATACAGTTTAGAGTACAATAAAATTTGACCACCGAATGCTGCTAGCGACCAATCAGAATCAAGTATTTCAGTGAGCCGCGTCATAGTTTACAGCAGACACTGTTTTCAGCAAATGTGAGGAGAGATCACATAGCTTAACCACAGATTTTATGGGGGGTTACAGTGAAAGACCCTAAATAGAGTCTAGCAACAGCTATGGGTCAGATATATAGACACCACTACATCTTGAACATATAAGCGCACATGGCACAGATATTGGTGTGTGTTGAGCTCTGGACTGGCTTCATCAGACAGGATTAATCATGTCAGCAGGGTTCATACAGTAGGTGTGTTTAAGTCTGTTTGTGTAAGTCGCTAAGCACAAAGCGCTTCCTCTGTGTGTATGTGTGTGTGTGTGTGTGTGTGTTCATAGAGACCCAGGTGCAAAAGAGATGATGAAGGAATGGAGATGGATGAATGGACTCCGCAAAGGAGGCAAAACCAAATATTCCCCCCCGCTGTTAGTTTAAAATGACTCGGCACACATATAGAGACTGAGAGACATTCCTCTCAGTCCAACAAAGACTCTGTAATTGAAACCAAATGTTATGAAAGCTCCTACCCAATGGATGGTTATGGTTACTTCAAAAGGATTATAAAAGAGCTTTGAATGTAAATACGGACTTGTCTCGTAAAGTAAATCTATATTTCCAAAATTCCTTTCCTCATTCGGTCGTAGCTAAACATGGCTTTTAATTACTTGTGCTTAAATGCAAAAGCTGACCAATTCAGAAACATATGTGACCCTGGAGCACAAAACCAGTCTTAAGTCGCTTGGGTAGCAATAGCCAAAAAAACATTGTATGGGTCAAAATTATCGATTTTTCTTTTATGCCAAAAATCATTAGGATATTAAGTAAAGATCATGTTCCATGAAGATATTTTGTAAATTTTTTTACTGTAAATATATCAAAACTTAATTTTTGATTAGTAATATGCTTTGCTAAGAACTTCATTTGGACAACTTTAAAGACGATTTTCTCAGTATTTAGATTTTTTTTGCACCTTCAGATTCCAGATTTTCAAATAGTTGTATCTCGTCCAAATATTGTCCTATCCTTTCAGATGATGTATAAATCTAAATTTAAAAAAATTGACCCTTATGGTTTTGTGGTCCAGGGTCACATATGCTTTCCTTTTTGTGTCCAGCTTGTAAACCCCATTTTCAGTCCATATATAACCATCTGACCACACTAACAACATGCTGAACCTGTACATAGTTTACTATATAAAACACAATGAGGGACTGTAGTGGATTAATTAAAGGAATAGCTCACCCAAAAATGGAAATTATCACGTACCTTAATGTTGTTCCAAACCCTTATTCTGCTTTTATTTCATGGAGCTCAAAATTAGAATTTTGAAGAATGTTAACGTCTTTTTTCAGACCATAGTGATCTTTGAAGATCCTAAAAGAACAACATAAAGTGGTTCATAAGATTCATGTGCTACTTTCCAAGTCTTTTGAATACAAACTGAAATTTAGGTTTGTATTCACAATATTCTTCTGTTCTAATGAGCTCTTAACTCAAGAACCGTTGTAACAGGATCATCACTCCTAAAATGAAGGTTCTAAATTGGCATCTATGGTTAGGTGAAGAACCTTTAGCATCTATAGAATATGCGCAAAAGGTTCTTTATAGTAGAAAAAGGTTCATCAGATTATTCCATTTTTCTTCACACTGAGAAAAACAATGGTTCTTACCATTCACTGAAAGGTTCTTTGGAGAATCCAAAATGGTTATTCCATGGCATCCATTTTTGGAACCCCGTTTATTTTTAGGTGAGTTGAACTTAAATGTATTGATACCTTGAGAACCAGATACATTTTTTTTAAAGCCCAGACTCAATGATTCATTCATTATTTGGATTAAAAATAGATATGTTTTATGTATATAGCTTTACTTTATTTAAAATGCTTTACAGAGCCAAAAAAATATATTTTTCTTGATCTTAACTCCCCAGATTGACAGATTACCACTGCGTAATGACATACCTTTCAGACTATTTCTCAGACAAAGTCATCACATGACTTCAGAAGACTTGGAATGTGCATATAGACTTTTTGGTGTGTGTTTTTGTCATTTTTGTAGGCGCTATGAACCATGAAGTGTGCAATTCCTCATTTTGTGCTCTACAAAATAAAAAGTAGCATGAGGGCGAGTCAATAATGACAGAATTATTTTTTGAGCCGGCTATTCCTTTAAGAAGGCGAGGAAAAGAAAAACTCGAGCCATCACTCATTTGTCTTCAACGTGTGGTGTGTGTCTGTCATTATCGGCACAGTCACACTGTCTATCCATCTTTGCTTCAGTCTTTCTGTCTGTCCTGCTCTCTTTGTCTATCCCTCCCCTCCTACTCCTTTTGTCCATCTCTCTTAGGCTTGCATGAAAAACACCCTGTCAGTCTTGTTTTCTTTTATTCTCCCTATTCTTTAGTTAATATGCTCCTATTTTCTCTTCTAAGAAGCTGTGTATTAATGATCAGGTAGACTGGGCTGTTTTTTTTTTTTACAATGTCGAACAAGAGAGAGACAAGAGAAAGAACAGTTTGTGTAGACCGTGTATTCGAATGTGCGCAAAAGAGAGACTAAATGGATGTGTTGACTCTCTTCAGATAGCCAGTAACAGCCAGTAAAAGACAAGGAAATTGGCCCAAATTGGGTATGGGTAATTTCACATCTGCTGTGTTCAATCAACCTCTATCTGGCTTTTGTGCAGGCCAGCTCTCCACAAACAGGCAGGTGTGTGTTAGCATCCGTGCTTTTGACTGTGTGTGTGAGAGAGATATTGTCAAGCACGAGACAATGTGTAACATTGGAAAACAAAGCACTCAGTTATTTCGTTCATGTTTGGACAGCACATGCAATCCAAACTGCACAAACACGTTCGTTTTATGTCGTGGTTAATGATATACCCATTGAACATAATGTCTCTCGGAATTCAAAAATATAGGACAAGACTTGATTATATGCATTGGCATTGATTGGATTGTGAAAAGGTGCCATTATGTTCCCGATTGAACCCAGTGGATGACATGACATGATTTTGTGACAAAAAAATATTTGTTTCAGTGGTGGAGCAAGTTATTACATTTAGATGAATGATAGCAAAATAAAAACATTTTGATTTTGATTAACAAGCATTCACAAATTATCAGAAAGTTTGGGTTCAGTAAGATTAAATAAATTAATACTTGTATTCAGCAAGATTTATAAAATTATCAGTACTTCAAATCTGAACACACCACAGGGAGGATGACACAAATTAAACAACAGCGATAACAGTAGACAGACAAAGGTATTGTACTAAGCAGTCAAAAGTTTTTGGCACAAACAGATTGCCATACTTTTTGGAAACATCCTTCCACAAAATGACAAAGAAAGAACATACACATCAGCATATACTAATATATCTTAAAAAGTAGCCAGTGACTGTAAACATGGAGAAATTTAGAGTACAAAACAGTCAACTCCTTTCTGTCACAAAAGCAACATATGTAAATTAATGGTAAATGGAATAATGATGCTGAAAATTAAAGGGATAGTTCACCCAAAAATGAAAATTTGATGTTTATCTGCTTACCCCCAGGACATCCAAGATGTAGGTGACTTTGTTTCTTCAGTAGAACACAAACAAAGATTTTTAACTCAAAGCGTTGCAGTCTGTCAGTCATATAATGGAGGTGAAAGAGAATCACGGCTTTGAGAGTCAAAAAAAAAAACATACACAAACAAAACCAAATTAAACCCTGCGGCTCGTGACGATGCATTTATGTGTAAAGAAAAGATAAGTGCATTACTGCCACCTATCTCTCAAATGGACCATTGACACTCTATCTACAATCTCAATTAGGAGTGTCAGTGGTCCATTTGAGAGATAGGTGGCGGTAATGCACTTATAAGTCTGCGATCTGCCGTAAAGCAAGAAGAAGAAGAAGACGCGTCACGCGCCGGCTGAAGAAGACGCCGCAAACGCGCTCAGGATGCACTCAGGACAGTTCAGACATTGCTGTGAAAATCAGAGGTAAAAAACTATACAAATACTGTTCAGTTTCTTGCACAGACCTATTGT